AATAATTTTTTTAAAGTAAAAAGGCACTTTTAAAATTAACACATACACACAAACTGCACATCTTCCCCATAAAATTTGGGGGTAGGGTGGGAAAAGGAGCTGAAATCAGGCTTAGTCCCCCACTCTGGCCTCTACTCCCCACACCCCAGTGCCACTGAGGGTGATTATACTGGCCCTACGGGCCATCCTGGCTTTTTTTCTTTCCTACCTTCCCCCAAATTTCATTGAGCACTTAATAAAGGAGCAGAGATACAACCAGTGTCTGGGCTCCCCAAGTGGTGAAATGATCTGAAGGCTAGACGCTAGTACCAGGTAGTGTCAGGTCGTTTCGAGTATTTTTCTGGGGAATGTCATACCCCTGACTGTAAGTGGTGGGAGAGGGAGGGGGGTTAATGGAACTGGGTCTGGGATTATTTTAAAATTATATATATATATATATATATATAAAGATATATTCTTACATCTTTTCTTTGCCCTCTGTGCTTTGAAAGCACTGGATAAATCGTTTGGTTTTGCTTTTCTCTCTTCCACAAAATTGGAAGCTTTTTTTTTTTTTTCCCTTCATGTTTTTCCTACAAGTCATTTTGCCTTGTGGCATGTCTGTCCAGCCTCCCCACCCCATGATGAAGTGCCATTTCTGTTATGTCTCCCTGACCCCCAGCTCAGAGGTGCTCAGAGGTACAAGGTGCCCAAGTTTGTCAGTTGAGATTAAAAGTTAGGAACAGAGAATGTGCAATACCTTCTGGCTGGGGGCTGTCCCTGCCCTGAGCTGAGTCCCTGCCCTGGGAGCCAGGCCACCTTAAATGGGATTTGGAAGTAAGATGTGTAGAGATGGGGAGTGGTAGGGAAGGAAAGCCCATAGTCCCGTGTCTGCTTAGGTGCTGAGACCATAGGGGAGAGGGTAGAATCTTCCCTATTTTAATCCCCTCTGGGTCGATTACATAGACGCTGCTTATTAACTAGTATAGCTCTGTGACCCTTTGTTCAATTGCTGAGGTTTGATTTCTTACCCTCTCCATCCCATCTTCATACCCTTCCCAAGGATTAGTGATGGGGCAAGTTCTCCTTAATCATGGTAAAGCATTAGCCTCCACTCCCCACCTTCCTTCTCCCCATCTTCTGTCTTCCTCAAGTCTCTGCTTTTTCATCTGATTGACTCATTCCCTCCAAGTCTAGTGTTGCTATCATCCCTAGGCTTTGTAGACACTAATCCTGTGCCCTGAGGATGGGAGGAAAGACCTTGTGTTCACAGAGTTGTCCTTTACCCTGGACCTTTGAATTTCCAGGTATTCTTAGAGTAAGGGTCCCACAAGTTGTGCCTGGCTTCCTCCAGACCTAGTGGCACTAAAAGCACTCATTCATGGATGGTGTCTTAACTCCCTAGAAATCTGAGACAGGTGGATTAGTGGCAAGACTTGGGTAAAACTGGGGGACAGAGGTCCTTATTTGTTAGTTTTATTTTGTCACTTGACCACAGCATCTGGACTCCCTCCGTCTCTGGAATAAGTATTTCCCCCACATTTTTGAATTTATGTATGGTAGACATTTTTTTTTTTTTTTAAAGACACAGATAAATGTTTTCCTGCTTTGGTTACCTTTCCTTTTCCCTTTGAAAGGAATTAGCTGTAGAACTGCTTTGTAAAGATGCTTCTTGATATTTTACTTTTGTTCCTTTTCCCCAACCATTCCCTTTTCTCCCCATTTCTCCCGAAGGCATAACCCTTCTCTCCACACACCCTACCCCATCCCAGTCCTAGGCTCCCTTCCCTCTCATCAAGATCTTCATTAGCTTATGATATTTGCTGCCGAGATGTTATAACAAGGACTCATTCGTGTATATAAGCTATTTCTTGATCCATTTAAAAGGAATTGTACATTGTGTAGAAAAAAAAAAAAGCTGAAAAAAAAAAAAAAAAAAAGCCCTAGCCATGGATATTGTGAAACTGTGTTATGTCATTTTGTAATGTGCCCGTTTGTGTATGATCCGTGCAAAAGGGTTTCTGGGGAAGGGGAGGGGGTAGGGAGGCAGGGCTGTGGAGGGTGGGTAGGGGAGTGGGCCGGGCCCAGCACACTGAGACTGGCAGCTGCTCCAACCCCATCCCTCCTTAGAGATGCCACCTCCCCCACCACCCACCCCTAATTTGTGCCTTGCCTCCCCACCCTGGAGTAGTCCCTCCGGGTCACCAGCACTGCCTTGGCAGAGCCCACTCCCTACCCTAACCTGCCCACCCTCCCTGCCCCCCAGCATTAGGTTGATACTGTGGGGAAGTGCTGGGGTTTGGGAGGCAGCCGAGGAATGGGGCAGTTCCCCGGGGGCATCGAAACCAAGTATTATTATGAATTGTAATTGTATTTGCACTGTTTTTTTTCCCTCTGATTGCATCAGCATATATACAATATACCTATATAACAAAATTCAGTGTCAAGCTTTCTTATGCAAGGGATTTCCCCATCTCACCCCCACACACACACAAAAAGAAAGAACCTAGTCTAATGGACCTTTGAAGATGAATTGTCAGGGGATGGTAGGAAGAAAGGACCCCCTTAGGAGGTCTCACCTTTTGAGAGCCACAGCTATCTGCACAGTTTTAGACTATGAATTGAGGTGAGGTTGGGTTCCTGTGAATGCTGGAACGATTTGTCCAGGACTGTGGAGAATATTAAATAAAGATAAACACCAGTACAAAGAGTGACATGGCCTGGAGATCTAGGGTCTCCTAACTTGGCTGTGTGCTCTTTGGTAGTGTTATTTTTGTGGGTCTCAAGTTTTTTTGTTTTTGTTTTTTTTTAATCTGTGAAGGATGAAATCATCTGGCCACCAGTGTTGAGATTCTGAGCTTCCTTCCCTCCTGCCAAAAACAGAAATCAGCTTGAGGTGAAGGAAATGTTGGGCTGAGACAATAGGGAGGAAATGAAAGCGACTAATGTTGAAGTAGTTACATATGTGACAATGCCCTTGGAGAGCTGGCAGTCCCTTGCTTTAAGTTTTTTTGTAAGAGGTGGCAGAGTGATGTTCAGGAGGGCAGTTAGACTAATGATCTCTTTGCCCTCGTGTTTCTAATTGAGAGCAGGGATCAGGCCCCAAGCCCATCTCAACCAACTACAAAGCCCTTAAGGATGGTTGACCTTGGATGCCCAGTGTTTGGTCTAGTTACTTCCTTTGTGAGCTACAGGATATTGAACTTCCCCTGTCGTCTTGGTGACAAAATGCAAGAGCCCACATCTTTCCTTCCCTCAGTTCCAGTCTGAACCCCTAAAGGCAGCTTTTTCAGTCTGTCGTCTTCAGGGGCTCAGTTTCCCTTAGCCTGGGCTGAGTATTCCCACTCTCTAACTTCCTGGCTGGTAAAGCCTGGAGAGGTATAGGATGATGGGTGAGGCCTTGGTGAAGGTGGAAGGATGGATTGGGGTTTGGGGTGGGGTGGGGAGCAGGGAGGTGGGATGGGAAATGGCCTTCCCTGAATAGGGTGGGTGGGAGGGGAACAAGACCCTTTTGCACAACTCTTAAGTTTCCTTTTTTTCCCCCCCTTTTTTTTTTCTCTCTCTTTTTATTTCTTTTTAAAAATCTCATTCTAATTTTCTGCATTGTTTGGGAAATAAAGTGAAAAATCTAAGACCAATAGAAACTGGTTTTCAAAAAAGGTAAATACACTCCCATCTGTTTCAGATACTGCTGATCATTTCAGCAGTGACAGATTCAAATAATAAGCTAATTTTTGGAGAAAGGATTAAAAGAAAAAAAACTTTGTAATATTTATCACTTGCAAGCTATGTTTAATAAAGAAAGGAATGGTTTCTAAATTTCCCTGTGGCTTGTGCTTTAGTCGTGGGGTGGGGGAGGGGCAGTTTGGGAGAATTTTAGGGGTAATTGGAAGGTGAGCTATCACTTATACTCCCTACAGTCCACTGATGGTGTGTCTTTGATTTGTACGTTTTAATTATGATTACTTAAAGCCCTTTCCTATTTCTGTGTACTTTCTTTTCTCTATTTCTAATATCCCAAAAGCCACAGACCCCCATTTCAGTTACCTGATGAGTTAATGTCCAAAGATATCAGGTGTGGTTGAGTGGGTCCCCATTTTCTCCTAGGGAGAGGTGCCTCCTGGCTGTCCTTGGCCCTTCCTCTCTAGTAACAGAGTCGTTTGGAAATCTGGCTTCTTTAGGTGGGGCCTTATCACAGTAGGGGTTCCTGCTGCTCTTTTCATAGGATGCTGCAGTCTGTCCTTCCTGAACAGCCTAAATGCAGCATCTCCAGAAAGATGCAGAACTGCGTGCTCACCTCCATGTCACCCTTCAAAGTTTTCCTTTGAACCCAGAGCATGAACCAGACCCCTTTTTATTTTACTTTCCATTTTGTGTTTTTATTTCCAAGAAAGGCCCAACCAAAGGAGAAGACTTGAAGTCTGGACTGCTGTTAACCCCTTCTACATTTTATACTCACAGATACTTCTGCACCTTGTGCAAAGCACCCCTGTGGAGGGCCAGGACCCAGCCTTTCTGAAATCTTGTCCTTGGTACTAGCAGTATTCTACATGAGTACAGCGACAGTATTTGGGGTGCCCCAAGCCCTGGGCTTTCCTTTCCCTGAAACCCTCCCCCTTTTTAGCACAGTATGGAACAGCTTTGGAGGGAGAGGCTGGTTGGGGTTGAGGCTGGGCCTTTGATTTTACAACATGACAGCTGGATGAAGAGGGACCATGGGGTGCTGAGTGCCATAGACTGCAAAGGGACTAGTAAAGAGATGCTCTTTGGGCCCCTCAGATTGGAGGGGATGATAAGTGGGATGCTCCACAGCCTCTGAGCCCATTCTACAAGGGATTCAAGACCCCAAGCCAAACTAATCTCTTCAAAATAGAAATCAAATGGGGGCTGGGGATGTGGCTCAATCGCCCGCTCGCCTTGCATGCGTGCAGCCCGGGTTCGATTCTCAGCACCACATACCAACAAAGATGTTGTGTCCTCCAAGAACTAAAAAATAAATATTAAAAATTCTCTCTCTCTCCTCTCTCACTCTCTCTTTAAAAAAAAAGAAAAGAAAAAGAAAAGAAATCAAATGGGGAGGGATCCCCTGAAGAGGGACCAATGCTTTGGATCTGGGAAGGGGCAATGGGAATTTGGTTGCTCAGAGAAAGACTTGTGGTGTTGGGTCAGGGGGGGCAATGAACTTGGCTCCCCTTTTGCCCATTTGCTGACTCAGACTATGAGAAATACGGTTACTGGTCCCTCTGTCAGTCTTCAGCTTGAGCAGGAAGAGAAAAACAAATCTCAGACTCGAATTCTGGTTTTGAGATGGACGTGGTGACAAAGCCCCTAGTCTTGCTTCTCCACTTTGAAGGGACATTTAAAGCTATAAATCTCTGGATAGGTCCATATTTGGATCAAGAGGGGTTCTAAGGCAGGAGTCGTCGCTATTGAGTAACTCCAGTGCCTTGGCCTAGATGAAGGTTATTTGGTATGCTGCCTGGAAGGATGCAGATTCTCCTGTTTCTTGATCTAGAAGGAGGAACAAAACCCACACCACTTTCTCTCCTGCCATGGCCAGGCCTGCCCCTCCCCAGATGGGGCTGAGGCACCTTTGGTTTCCTCCTGACTCCGGAGTAACAGGAACAGACGAGGTCGATTCTTTGGTGGATCCAGAGTTAAATGATATCTGGGAGGAAACCAACTTGGAGGGCCCTAGGCTAAGAGCTGTGCCATGGTCACCTGGCCCATGTCCCAGTCCTCAAGCACACCAGTTGCCCCCTACTCTGAGCCTGGCCTGCATGAGCTGCAGCTCTGTCTGCTGCAGGCTCAGATGCTGCCCGACATTCTTGGGACCCCTGTCTGCCGAAGAGGCTTCCCAGACAGAAAGTGTCGGCACCATGACCTGTCTGGGACCTCCCTCCATCTTAGAATGGACCCTGACCTTCACCCTGTTCCATTTTTCCCAGAGATGGAGAGGGTCACCCTTTCTTGCTCCTGGGTGGCAGGGAAACTGGCTCTGGCCTTGTTGTCCACCTCTGGTCTCCATCTTGGGAGTAGCAGTTTTCTCTGCCCATTTGGAAGCCCAGAAGGCCTCCCTTCACTCCTGGTACCACACGACTGAAGAGAACTGCCTGCGGCCCACCTCGCTCTCCTTCCTAATTTTGGTGAGTGAGGGGGAAGGGCTCTGTCTCTGTCTGGTCAAATGCCACAGTCATGACTCTCCTTAAAAGTTTCCACATTACCTGGGGCTTACCTATGTCTCCAGCTGAGGAAGAGACAGAGGGGAGTGAGCTGTTTCACCTTGGCCACAGGAACAACTGGTGTGGGACTTGGATAAAGACCCTGGCCACTGGACAAACTCTGGGGGAGCTGGGCAGGCAATGGAAGGGAGGAAGGCAGGAAGGCACCATGAGGCCCTGTCTCTTTCCCCCATCCCACCTGGGTCTTCTCCTGGTGCAGGGAGACCTCCCAGGACCCTCCCAGCCCACCCTCCGGGGCTCACCCTGCACTAGCAGGACACCCTGTGCCCTGCGCCAGACAAGCGTGCCCAGCCAGTTGGCAGCACAGACATAGACACCAGAATGCTGGACCCACACATCTGAGATCATGGGGTTCCCAGTGCCCAGGACTCAAATGCCCTCCACAGCGATGGAGCGGCCATCTGTGGGAAGGCACTCAGGCCAAGGCTGGAAAAGGCTGAGGACTGGGTGGGGCCAAGGTGGGGGGATGGGGCAGCTGCTCACCCAGGCTGCTCCAGGAGACAAGCGGCCTTGGTGGCTGTCACAGTGGCGATACACTCCAGCACTGCTGTTTGGTGCACCGTGAGCGTCAAGTCCTGAGGCCCAGACAGGATCTCTGGCCTCTGCAGCAGCTGCGGGTGCCCTGGGTGTTGGAAATGGCACAATGGATCAGAGAGAGCCCTCTTCCATCCCCTGTCCTCACTTCTTTTTTTTAACCGGTGCGTTATAATCCTACACAGTGGCGAGATTCGGTGTCTCATGTCGGTTCATGCACCCCTACACTCACTGCCGCTCCAAGTGCCCCCTCCAGCCCACATGCTTTGTGTTCCTTCCCTAGAGTCCCCTGGCAGTGCAGATGCCCCAGCTACCTGGGGGGGGGGGACTTGCTCCTCAGGTGTCCCCAGGACAGGGCCTGCAGCTGGGACACTTGCTTCCCAGAGCGCCCCCCTGGGGAAGGGGTGGGGCCAACTTCCTTTACTGAGGCACCCCAGAGCTAGAAGACCCTCCCCCAGAAAGACCCCAAAGAATTCAGCCTGCCTCAGCTGTTAGGAGAAATGCAGGCATTTTCCCGTTCCCATCTTAGATCTAAAGCACAGCACGGCTTCATTTGATGCCACACCTTCCCACTTATTACTTGTTAAATTCTTTTTTGTTTGTTTTTCTTTTTGGTACGGGGTGTTTTATCACTGAGCCACTTCACCAGCTCTTTTTATTTTTAATTTTGAGACAGAGTCTTGCCAAGTTGTCCAGGCTGGCCTCAAATTTTTGATCCTTCTCTCTCAGCCTCCTGAGTCATTGGGATTACAAGTATGCACACATACGAGACAGTCTTGCTGCTTAACTCAACAAACCCTCACCTGTACCAAGCGCTGCCCTCATACAGGGACTGCAGCTGTGAACAACATGTATGTACCACACACCCTAGTCTTCCTTCTGCTGTCACTTTCATATTTTTGTTGCCACCTTATATTTTCTGAGCCTTTCTAATACACTTTTAGATCATGATGTCCTTATTAAGAACTTTTCCCTGGGCACTGTGGCACCCGTCTGTAATCCCAGCGGCTCCGGAGGCTGAGGCAGGAGGATGGTGAGTTCAAAGTCAGCCTCAGCAATGGTGAGGCGCTAAGCACTCAGCAAGACCCTGTCTCTAAATAAAATACAAAACAGGGCTGTGGATGTGGCTCAGTGGTTGAGTGCCCCTGATACAATCCCTGGTACAACAACAACAACAACAACAACAAAAAATAGCTTGCATCCTTAGGTGAACTTTTGTCAGAGATGTTTTAAAACATCTGTGCCCTGGTGCCCCTGCTTTCCCACATACACTTGCTTACATTTATACTCGGGAGCCCCCTAGTGGCTAATGCTGGCATGACTTCTCAGACACCTGTGGCCACTCCACTTCAGGCAGCCGGACCTCAGTCTGCCTCTCCCACCCAACTTGGCCTGCAAGTGGGGGCGTCCTGGGTGCTTCATCTGAGATACAAAGCTTTTCATCCTCATTCCAAAGAGAAAACATGTGCAAGTGTACACACACACACACACACACACACGCACACACATGTGCTACACACACATGTCCCAAACACAGGCTGACTGAGCCCTCACTCCAGAACCATCCAGGGTTCACCCTTGTACATTTGCATAAGGAAATTCCCTCTGCCCACCTTGCTGACCTCGGTCTGCTTCTCTTTGCTCACCCTTCAACACCCAGCTTGGTGTGGCTTAGTACAGAAGCCCCTGGCCATCCCTTGCTGAGCCCCGGCCGGGTTCCCACCCCATTTTTCCCTACCAGGTGGTGAGCTGGAAGCCCACAATGGAGCGAGCCTGCCTGACATCCCGAAGATCCTTGAAATTACAAAGTGTCTGACCTCAAACAACCACAGTATCCACACCTTCCCATTCCCCAGCCCGCCCCAGTCCTGCTTACCAGTCGGGGTCAGCTGGGCGTCCTGGCTGTGGCGGGTACTGGCCACATTTCTTGCAACAAGACGGTAGGTGCCCACATCAGCCTGGCTCATGTTGGTAATGTACAGGATACCCCCAGGCAGCAGTGTGACCCTGAGGATACAGAAGTCACAAACCCACAGCCTGCTCCATGTCCCCTGCCCATCACCCCATTCCACTCCTGGCTGGTGCTCAGTGGTGGTCGGTGGGATTCAGGGCCGTGCCATTGTGCTCCCAAGAAATGGAGGGCTCAGGCGCCCCCCGGATCAGTCACTGGAAACGCACAACTCCACCCTCTACCTCGACTGACTCTGGGTGTTGGTGGGAACAGGACAGACCTGAGTGTGGGGGCCACCTGAGTACCCAAGAGCAGCCCCAGGCCAGGCCCCGCCTCTGTGCCCACACGGCCACTCCTGCTCTCCTCACTGTGCAACCCCCGAAGTCTCTTCTTGGGTTTATGGCTTTTGTGGGTCATAAGAACTTTGTCTTTCTCCATTAAATTATTCTTACATTTCACAGCTGCACTGGTATAAAGTGATACAAAGACAACTTTCAGCAGAACTCAATTATGACTATTATTATCCTATTCATGCTTTTTCTTCTAATTTTAAAGAAATTAAAACATTTATTTGGGCCTAGTAGGGGCCCAAGGCACTGTGCACTCATGTCCAGTGGCCGAGCCAACCCTTCCAGGCCCACTTTGGGCAGCTCTGTGTCCTGTGGGTGCCCCTGAGTTGCCCCCGTGCACTTCTGTCCCAATCCCCAGGAGCAGCCCTGTCACTCACTTGCCAGCTCTACCCTGGCCCCGGCCCCCTGCCTCCCATAGCAGTTCTGGGCCACACAGTGGCACTCGTGGGCACAGGATGAGGGATTCCAGTAGGAGGGCAGGGAACCGTCTGGCATCAGATGGTACCACCAGCAGACCATCCCGCTGCCAGGAAGTGGACACAGGTGTCTCCCCTCCCCCTGGCAGGCAGCACCAGCAGGCGCCCACTATATCCCCAGGCTCCCCGCAAAGGCCAGTTCAGAGCCTGCAGCATAGCCTTAGGGACAGTCAGCACAGCCTGGACACGGTGGTCTCCCGGGGCCCAGCCCCTGCCCACTGCCTGCCCCTCAGTTGAGATGCTCCCTCTGCCTGAGCAAGGGACCAGAAGACAGGACTTTGACCATGGAGGGGTTTGGGGGTGGCAAGGGGGGAGCTGGGAGGGACAGCAGGGCCTGGCTGGCTGAGCAGAGCTGGCCACTGTCTGACTGGCCTGGCGGGCAGCCTGATTGATGGCCTCTTTCAATCAGGCCCTGGCAACGGGGAGGGGGGAGGTGGGCACAATGGTGAGGTCAGGGGCTGAGGCATAGGCATTGTGCTCCCGGGGGACAATGGGGTGGCTCCCTCCCTCCCCCACCAGCCCAGCTGCCTGTCTGCCCACAGGGTCACCTTCCCAGGACTCCTGTTCTCCCCTTGTCCCCTCCTGCCACAGGGACTCCAGCCTCTGAATGGAGGAGGCACGTGCTTAGGCTCTCACACACTCATGGAGGACGCACACGCTCCGATTCAAAATCACAACCTCACAGCCCACCTTACTCAGTGCACAAGCACATTCTATCCCTCACACACTCCCAAGGTCACAAGCCAGGTCCCCACTAGACATCTCGATAGACTCAAAGTCAAACACATGACACAGGGCCACAGGCACCAAAGTCATGGCCCAGAGAGCATGAGGAGAGCTGTGAACACACGCACACACATGCACAGAAACGTGTATGCACACGTGCACACACACACGCACAGATATGGACACACGGACATGCATACACATGTGCACACACCCACATGCACACACATACATGCATGCACATGCACACACGCGCACACACAGATACACATATGCGCACGCACGCGCACACCACAGCTCCGCCGGCATTGGGGAGCCCTGGCAGGACAGACAGTGGTCTCTGAGGGGCCCACAGGCCCAGGTTCTCCAAGCGGCACATCCAGGAGGACATTCTGGGCCCGGTCTCTCCCAGACCCATGCTTGCCCCGCCCCTTTCCCAAACCATGTGACCTCCCCGCTCCCAGGACTGTGCCCAAGGTCCTCCTTCCCCTGCCCTGCCCCGCCCCCTGCCTCTCGATCCCCAGCCCCCCTCTGCTCCTCCCCAGTCGCCTCCAGGCTCCTCCAGCCCCGTCTCCCCACCGCCCTCCTGCGGCTTCTCCCTCAGGCCCTCCCCCAGCCCCCTCCCCGTGCCCCAGCCCCCTCCCCGTGCCCCAGCCTTGGAGCAGCCCAGCCCCAGCCCCTTGCCTCCAGGCCTGGCCCCCTCAGTGCCAGGGCTACGTCCCAAGCGGCCCTGGCCATCTGCCTTCAGCCTGGGGCCCGGGCTGTGGGCACCCCCAGCCCACTCTTAGGAGACAGTGTTGGGGCTCTGGCCTTGTTTGGGGGATCCCGGGATCTGGGGCTGAGTCTTGGCCGGGGGCTGGGGACTGCGATCCTGCTCTCCGCCCTCCGCCCTCCGGGAGCTAGGTCTCTTTCTGCTTCCAGCCTGAGCCCCTTCCCCACCCTGTCTTCGCTGTCCCCTCCCTCCAGGGCCTGGACCCAGACTCGGAGGCCGCAGGGCAGTGGTGGGAGGGCGGGCCAATGAGAGCAGGGCAAAGTTTGGGGTCAGACCCGCCCCTCTCCCCGCCTTCAGAATCTTCCCCCAGCCCCCTGCCCCCTGCTCCCGCGGAGACAAGACTGAAGTCCTAGGGTTCCTCCAGCCCATGGGGTCTGGCGACTGAGCAGGGTGGCTGGGAGGTCGGCTGGGGGCCCGGGGAGGTTGTAGAGCCACCCACCCCCTTTCCCAGCAGAGCCACCGTCCCAGGTGCTGAGGCGGGGCTCAGGGAGGGGCCTTACCCCCTTGTTGTGGTCACAGCCCCCACCCCAGACCCCTCACCATTTTCATAGTGTCATTTCCCAAAAGTGTTCTCTATTCTTCCTGGGACAATGGATTGGGGCCACCAGGGGCCCCGCAGGGAGCCAGAGAGTGGGAGGTGGGACGCGGCCTCCACCCGCCCAATCCTAAAAAGAAGAAAAGCCCACGCCTCCTTCCCTCACCAGGCTGACCACCTAAAAGGTGCAAAAGGAGGGGGTACTCCTCGAAAAGGGGTCTGGGACCAGAAGGGCCTGCCTTTGCAGCAGGAACCCATCAGCTCCAGCCTCCCCCTAAAGCAATGTCCAGAAAGATGGGGGGTGCTCCTGGAAGTGTAAGGGGGCATGGCAGGGGTGGGGTTTGGGTGGGCAAGACTGGCCACAGCAGACAGGCTTCTACCCTAGGCGCTCCAGCCAGGCTGGCCCCAGCACGGCCTCTCCCTGGAGCCCGCCAGCTTCACTCTTCCCCCAGCTATGTGGCGGGCTTGGCCCTGGGCAGTTCAGGCTGCCCAGCGCACTTACGCTGACGCTCTGGTCCTGGGCCATCACCTCCTCACCTGCTCAGCAGCCTCTCTTGTCCAGCTCACCTCCGCAGCCTCTCCCAGCTCCCAGCCTCCCTCAGCTCAGCCTCCTCCTCCCAGAAAGGCCATCCTCAGAGTCTGTGTCACCAGACTGGGCCACCTGAGGAGATTCCCACCCCTCCCCAGAGGGGCCTCCTGAGTCAGGACACTTGAGCAGGGAAAGCACATGGGGCCCAGGATCAGGGAGGGGAGGCCCAAGTCACTTACTAGCTGTGGGTCATTGGCCAACTGACCACAGTGCTTTGAACATGTGGAACCTGCCCCTGTTCCTGGCCGGGAAGTGCCGCCCCATGGAGAGAGCACTGGGAGATGTGCTGGCAGGTCTCTCTGCTGGGAGTGGCCCCTCTTTCCTTCCCCCTCCATCAGCCCCACGGCCCAGGGCTCTGGCGCCTCTGGCTTGCCAGCTCCCCCAGCTCTTCTGCAGCAGACCTCTGGAGAGTCTCCGCTGGCAGATGAAATCCCCTGAGGCCTTGGCACGCCTGGGACCCTGTCTTCCCACCCTAGGTCCTTTCTGTCCACCCGCTCTCTGTCGGTCCCCAGCATTTCCTCCTCACTCCGCCCGTCTCCCTCTCCCTCTATTTGTCTCCCATTGGTTATTGGCAGAACCGGGTCCCTGGGGAGATCCACGTCCTGTGCCCCAGATCCTGTGAATAGGCTGGGGTACATGGTGAGGGGAACAGGTTCCTAATCAGTTTTTTTCTTTTTTCTTTTTTTGGTACCAGGGATGGAACTCAGGGCACTCCACCCCTGAGCCACGTCCCAACCCTATTTTGCATTTTATTTACAGACAGGGTCCCACTGACTTGCTCAGGGCCTCACCTGAGCAAGGTTGCTGAACCCTCGATCCTCCTATCTCAGCCTCGCAAGGCTCTGGGATTACGGTGGCAGGCACCCAGCTTCACTTGGTTCTGAGGTGGCAAACGTGAGGCCCTGAGTTTAGTACTGAAAGGGGGGACAGGGAGGGAGGGGGAAGGCAGGGAGGGAGGGAAGGAGGAAGCAAGAGAGGAGGACAGGAGGGGAGAGGGAGGTAGGATTCTCCAGGGTCGCCTGGTGATCACAGAGGGCCTTACAAGCGGGAGGAGGCAAAGGGTAATAGAGGAATCGTGACCGTGACCGCGTGACCATGGACCTGTCTTTCCTGACATTGCCGTCATGACGTTTCATTCACACCTGCTGGTTGTGCCTGTGTTCCCTTCACCACAGTGTGAGTCCCAGGAGGGCGGTGTGGACATACCCCTGGCTTGGTGGCCACAGGCCAGCTCCAGGCTCCTCAGGAAGGAGGGGACCCATACCCAGATCTCATTCCCCTCTGTGGGTCCCAAGAGCTGGAGCCCAGCCCTCAAACCCTGCTCAGACTTCCCCCACCCCCACCCCGCAGCCTGGGCTCCCGCTGTCCCACCCGAGAGTTCCCAAGTCTCTGCCTGAGGCTATGCAGGACCCAGTCCCAGCCAGTGCCCACGCGCCCCCTGCAGTCCACCCACTTGGGGTTTCACAGGCCCTGCCCCCTCACCAGGCCCATCCTCTATTCCCCTTTCCCCTTCCTCCGACAGTATTTTCAAATGAATCCAGGACAACACATCATTGCACATCTACGTACTCATGTGTATCTCTGAACAATTAGGAGCCTCTTTTCATAACCATAACGCCATTATTAAATCTAACAAAATTAACAATGATTCCTTAATATCGCCTAATACCTGGTCCATAAACGGATTCCCCTGGTTGTCTTAGAAATATCTTTTCAGTGTTCTTTTCTTTTCCTTCTTTCTTCTCTCACCAAGGACAAGCTCTATCCAGGAGTGGGTGCAGGCCTGTAATCCCAGCAACTAGGGAGGCTGAGACAGGAGGATGCCAAGTTCAAGGTCAGTCTCAGCAACTTACTGAGACCCTCAACCATCTTGTCTCAAAATCAAAAATAAGTAAATAAAGAGGACTGGGAATGTTACTCAGTGGTAAAGTGCCCCTGGGTTCGATTTCAATTGCCAGTACCTAAAAAAAGTTCATTCACTACGTGAATTGTTGAGAGTCTTAAGGGTGTAATCAGAAGTTCGCCCTGTCCCCTGACCCCTCATCTCCCCATCTGAATGCCAGGGAGTTGTTGGAGACACTGGGTGAACTGTCCAGTGGAACTTCCTATATTCTGGACCTGCAGGTTGTCTTTCTTTGGTGCCAGCATGTCCCTTATGAGGGGTGCGGGCTATACCTCTATTTAGTGAGGTTTCACTTTAGGCAAGAGACTTTATCAGGCGATGCGGACACCGCGCGCTGTGCTTCCTCCGGGGACACGTTGGGTCTGGCGGCCCACTTTTGGTGATTCTAAGACTGACGAGGGGCTTCTGGGGCTGACAACCTGTGCTCTACGATGAAGACTTCCCCTCAACCTTGTGTCCAATAGTTGGATCCATTGAAGATAATTGCCATTTTATTATGGGTTGTCAAATGATGATCTTCCAGTTTTGGGGGGGGGGGATGGGGATTGAGCCCAGGAGCGTTGTGCCCCTGAGCTACATGCCCAGCCCTTTTTATTTTCAATTTTAAGACAAAGTCTCACTGAGTTGCCCAGGCTGCCCTTGAACTTGATGTCACCCTGGCTCTTGACAGCCTCCTTCGGAGCCACTGGGGTCACAGGTGTGTTTCACGGTGCCCGTGTGATCTTCCAGTTTCCACAATTCCTTTTTCGTATTTTTTGCTGATTAACTGGAATTCTGTAAGTCACCACTCTCACCTGGTGTGAGTAATCCGTGGCTCCAGAGGCTGAGGCAGGAGGACTGCAAGTTCCAAGCCAGCCTCAGGAATTTAGCGAGGACCTGAGCAACTCAGTGAGACCCTGTCTCTAAATAAAATACCAAAAAGGCTGGGGACGTGGCTCAGTGGTCCAGCCCCGCCTGGGTTCAATTCCCAGGACCAAAACAAACAGGGGAAAAAACCCTCCCCCACCAACCCAAAAAAGAAAGAACGACCAGCGAACTGTGGCACTGTCCCCTATCAGCGAGGACAATCCGATATCCTGAAATAGAGTTCACACGGAGAGAAGGGACAAGCGTTCTGTCCTTTCTTTTTGTTCCCAGCGGGGGCTGCAGCCGGGTGTCCCTGGGGCTCTCTCCCTCTGGTAGCTCCCTGCTCTGAACTGATACTTTTTAAACCTTCAGGGTTCCCGGTGCCTCCTCAGTCTCTTTGACATTCAGATGGCCCTGTTCCCTGGGGGAGGAACCCGTGTCCCTTTCCTTCTTCCCATTCCTGGGTATCGACTTTCTGGCACAAGACGTCCCAGGCTCGGCCCTGGGACCGGAACCCACCTTCTTCCAGGAGCTGGGCCCCACGAGGTGGCCTCTGCT